TCCTGCCTATGCAGGGGGTCGGACTCGATGATCTATTGAGGTCCCTTCCGACCCTAACATCTATGAATCTATGAATCTATGACCTGCCTCTGATGAACCCATGTTGGTTGCCCCTAAGCATATATTCCCCTGCTGGTCCCTCACAGATGTGCTCCTGGATAATTTTCTCAAAGAGCTTCCCCAGGACCAAGGTAAGACTAGCATGCCTATAGTTTCCTGGGTCCTCCCTCCTCCCTTTTTTGAAAATGGGGACCACATTGGCCCTCTTCCAGTCCTCTGGCACCTCGCCAGAGCACCATGAATGCTCATAAAGCTGTGCAAAGGGACCTCTGTGCAGAGGCAATGACCTCTGCTAGTTCTCTCAGCACTCTGGGGAGGAGATCATCAGGACCTGCTGATTTGGATCCATCCAGTCCCACCAGGAGGTCCCTGACTAGGTCCACTCTGACCCTGGGCCTGGCTGCACCTCCCCTGGGACCGTCAAGGATCATGATGGGGGGGATGACCTGGTCCCTGCTCAGAAAAATGAAGGCAAAGAAGTTGTTAAATAAGTTAGCTTTGATGTCTGGTGCTACCACCAGACTTCCTAGCATGTCCTGCAGAGGCCCTACGTTACCCAGAACCTTCTTTTTACCTCCTATGTATTTAAAAAAGGACTTCTTATTGTCCTTGATCCAGGTTGGTAGTCCCAGTTCCATCTTCGCCTTACCCTTCCTAACAGCCCCCCTACAAACCTGAGCAACAGCTGTATAGTCCTTCCTGGTGATGGCCCCTCCCTTCCATTGGGTGTACACCTCCTTTTTAGCCTTGAGACGTTCCTGGATGCTTTTTCTTAGCCAAAGGGGCTTTTGAGCACTCTTGTTCCCTTTGGCCCTTGTTGGGATTGCTACCCTTTGAGCTTGGAGGATCGTCTCCTTAAGGAATGACCACTCTTCTTGGACTCCCAACTCCCCTACCCTCTGGGATCTCAGTCTCTCCCCAACTAATGTCCTTACCTCATTGAAATCCACCCTCCTGAAGTCCAGGGTTACTGTCTTGCTGTAGGCCTTTGCCGCCCTGCGCTGGATGGTGAATTCCAGTAGGCGATGGCGTCGCCCAGGTGATTGAGCACCTGCAGTCCCCTCACCAGGTCATCGCCTCTGGCCAGGACCAGGTGTAACAAGGCATTTTCCCTGGTGGGACTGTGCACCTCCTGGGTTAGCTGGAGGTCCTGTAACGTGGCTAGGAACCTAGGTGAGCGGTCAAACTGTCTGACTGCTCTTCCCAGCAGATGTCTGGATAATTTAGGTCCCACATGATGACCACATCCTTTGACCTAACTGCCTCTGCAAGCTGACCTGAGAATTCCCGGTCAATTGAATTGAATTTCATCTGATATATTTCAGACTATTTCTCTAATTTATTAAGGTAATTTTGAATCCTTTTGATTTTGAATTCTGTCCTCCAAAATGTCTCCAAGCTCATCCAACTTGGTGTCATCTGAAAATCTATGAAGTGGGCTGCCTACCTTTATAGCTGTCTTCCACAAAAGAAAAAAAAGAGAGAGCATATCTGAGGGTTGTTCCAGTACCAGAATTCTTTCTGCTATCCCTGAAGAGCAAGAAGCATAACCAGGAGGCCAAGGGACCATAAAGTTGATTATTTAAGCTAGAGTTATCTGACAATCTCATAGGGGTTAACCAGAAGCCCCTGGGCTGCCAGTCCAGTTGCTGCTTCCTTGTCCATCAGACTCTTGCTGCTGCTGTCAGAGCAGGGTTGCCAAATATCCATAAACATACAGACAGCCCTTAAAAAATAGGGCAAAAAACACCTTTCCATAATGTGTAAAAAAAAAAAAAAAAAAAAAATTAGAGCCACCTGTAAAAATGCTAAACAACAACGCGCTTGATAGATGGAGCACAAAAGTGTTACCAGATAAGTGTTATCTGAATGAGAGTAGGCATGCTAATGGGAGCTCTCTTTCAGGGCTTTGTGGCTTGCATAGCTCCCCCTGGGCCAGCTGTATGCTGCTGCTGCATCTTTTTGTTTATCCCATGCCTCTAACAGATGCTTGCTGGGGTGGTTTGGCTGAGACAGAGCTATAGGCACAAGAAGGGGAGAGGCAACGGGTGGGGATCCATGCCACTGTGCTAAGATGCGGGGAGGAGAACCAGCAGGAGTAAGGCTGGGGAGTGGGCTGGCTGGAGGCAGCACCATGCAGGATGTGTTTGAGGAGATCAGGGTGTGGGGATGAGTAGGGAAACCCTTGTGGGGGGCAGTACAGTGTAAAACTATTGCTGCACTCAGGCAGTCACCAACTTTGTTATTATGGTTGGTGTTAAATCCTTAAATTTGAATCCTATCCCTTGCAAATATCATCCAGGGCCTGGCAAAAGGGTTGCATTTAAATTACGTAAATCATATATCAGTAAAAAAAAAAGTTTCATTGTTGGTAAAAAAGTTTGCAGATTGTCAGTAAAAAAAAAACATTCTTGAGTTGGTAACCCTGTACCAGGGTCTTCAGGCTCTCCCTCTCTCTTCCAGGTTCCACTTCTTGTGTCTGCCCCTAGGAATGAGGAGAAGTGACATGGCCCACAGGGCTAAGGAAGCTTTGGGAAAACCTGTGAACTATGGGTACAAAAAAGATTATTAAGAAAGCACAGAAATGTTTGGTCTGAATAAAATAGCACCATTGATTTTTTAAATGACAATTCTGTATATTTTTTAAGAGAAGCTTATTATGAAATACTACAAAGAACAGAAACTAGGGATATGAGGAATCTAAATAAGATATAAATTAACATAAGCTACTTGATTGAAGAGCTATGTCATTTTTACAAAAGTCAGATGTATATGAAAACTAGGTGTCTTTTTTTCATTGCTCCTTGTTACCTCCTACCTCTGTTATTAAATGCACAAAACAAAGCAAGTACTGCTTACAGAGAGTCCAGTTGCAGGGAACAGTAGTTGCAAGCAGCCCTGCTTAATGGGCTTCAGAGCTCAGCCTACAGACTATGAGCAGCAGAATACCAGGCTGCTGTGAGGGGAGTTAGCAGCACCTGTTAACTATAAGCCAGGTCAGATGACAGGCAGCAGAGGGCCTGGCCTGCATATAGACTTGCCCTGGTTATGAAGAACAGGATTTTTCTGCTATATAGGAGGAACTTGAGGCCACCAGGAGAAGAGATGCTTCTGCCCACTGAGAGTGAACACCCAAAGGGGTGAAGATTTGGTTGAGGACTGTTTGTATTTACTCAGTGGGGCTGAGATTTTAAAAAACACACCACTTCAATTTTGGGCCCCTGTTTTGTCTACACGTGCCCTTTAACTCCCTGACTAGGGACGGATATTCAAAAAGCCTGAGCCTGAATTGATTCAACCTTTGCAGGTTAGTCTAACCTGGCTAGGCTGAACCAGTTTGTAACTGTGCAGACATCCCCTCTGGACTAAAGAAATGCAGGCACATGCCTGCAGCGGCTCAGTCTGGAAGCCAGAGGGCACTAGAGCAACCCTCCCTTCCCTTCACAGTGCTGAGGGTGGTGTGGCCAGGCCCGGGAAGGATGCTCTCATTAGGGAGGGGTTCCCCCCCACACCCTTGCTGCTCCTAACCAGTGAGGGAGCCAGCAGAGAGTTGCACAGAATTTACTTACACAGCAGGGGGGGGTTTCAGGGAGAAACGCAGTGTTTATTAGCCCATCATGAAAACAAAAGCCTTTCTTATTAGTTTAAGCTCTTCTTTTAGCTCCAAAAAGCACTAAGCAGACACTGTCCTGTCAGTCTTTGGCCTGTCTGCCTTACACAGACACCTCTCACCATTAGCTAGCATACCCCATGCTGGCTACAGTCCATGCTGTGAGAGGGGAGGGGGGAATACCTGCTTGAGCGGGTAGGGGGGTAGGAGGAAGCCAGGCAGACCCCTGTGCCTGCAGTCTCTGCCAGAGCTCCAGCCAGGGAGTAGAGCGGCAGGGCCAGCCCTGCTGTGGAGCAGAGAGCCCCGCCCAGGGCTGCAAAGCATCCGGGATGCTGGGGAACTCTGGTTTAAGTTAAACCAGGAAGAGGGCTGGGACAGACATTGCATAAACCAGTTTGACCCAAATCAGTTAAGTCTGGTGCTACATTCAACTAGGTTTATCTCAAACCGGTTTCAGCCATTTTCAAACTGGTTTATGTGCACTGAACATCTGTTACAGGTTTAAACCAGTTTCTGATCGCTTAAACCGGTTTATGTGTAATGTCTGTCCCTAGCCCGTTACCTAGGAGGTTGCTTAAGAGTCATATAAGAGACTCCCTTGTTTAGTGGCTCAGCATACTGTTTCAAGCACTGAGTTCCACATAGTAGTGCTTTTGCTGATGCATAATTTTATACTTTTATACTTTTACTTTTTATACTCTTAAGGGTCAGTTTCTTCAGTATTGATTTTTGCAGATTTTCATGAACTGTATTTTACTCCAGTATATAGAAAATAATGTTAACTTATTTATATTCCTGCCACAATCCATTTTTCAATTATGGTTTTATTTGGGAGTTTATCCTTTCCCCTGACTTCTGTTTCTTCAAGAGAGCTTAACTGTGTTTATGTGGATGAATGGTGACTGTTATGTTTGTTACAAGACCCTATACCAACATGTAAGAGATCTGATGTTACTCAAAAGACTATCCATCTTGCATGTGGATAGTATCCCACTATTTTGACTAAGTTGTACTTTCTTTTTCATTTTAAGAATACTATGAAGATGTGTACATTAACCAGCTTAATTTGGCCTATTGCTTCAACAACCCTGAAGACAAATGGTTAAGGAATTACTTCTATGAACAATGTTTTAACACTGCTCAACTGATCAAAATTGATGGGGGGAAAAAAGAGGCTGAGGCACATGCAAATATGGGCCTTGTCAATGAGGAACAAGGTAAGTAATTGACAGTTTATATCATTATATCAAAATGTTAAGGTATTCATTTTTTCAGACAGCCATGTTTGGTTGGCTTGTATTTGATTCCTGTGCACAGTACTTATACTGTAGTACATGATCTGAAGCTAAAGTATCAACGTTTTTGCAGTTGTCATAATTTAAATGTTTAGATACGCAAACCTAGATGTAGAAAAGTATTTAATTAGACATTGAGGGTTTTTTTTTCCAGCAATGACACTTGTTTTCAGCTTCAGCAAATACATTTAAACTAGACATGAACAAAGGAAGCATTCCCTTATACACAAATATAGTTGTGCTTTCCAGATATTACTGCGTTTTTTTACTTACGGATTATTTAAGAGTTTACTGGCTAATGTCTTAAACTGTAAACCTATGAGATCAAGAAAATATCCGAACAGAAAAAAACCCTTTTAAAAATTGCATTTTCATGACAGAAAGGATTGAGTATACCAGTGACCGTGTCTGAAGGTTTCTACCAACAATCCTGCTTGATACAAGACAAAAAAATGGGTGAAATATTTGTTGTGAATTTATTAAAATGTAGACTCTTTCTAATGGCTAGGGGGACCCAAACAAATTATGATTTCTTCAAATATATTAATTATTTGTTACCCAAACATTTTATGATTTCTTCAAATATATTAATTATTTGTACTAATGAATATCTTTATTAATTTTTACTTTATGAAATGCTAACAAATGTTCAGATTTAGAGCAGTACTGTTTTGACATAATTGATCATGTAAAAAACATTTGTATAGTTCTTGTTTTTAGCTTGCATGAACCAGTAAGGACTTCTAGCATGAAATCTCATGTGTGTAATTTCCAAGAATACTTGGCCATATAGCTGTCTTGAAATTTGCTTCCCATTAATATTTTTGCCCTCAAACTGTGATCACTCAAATGTTAGCAGAAATAAATATGCAAAAGGCATAGCATGGGCAGAAGGTGATAGGGTTAAACATTCAGAAAAATATTCAAAGAAAGCATTTGAGATATCTGTGTAAATGTTTGAGGAATATTAGCATTATGTAATTAAGGGTTATCAAATGCAGATGAACAAGAATGGAGTCATGATAAGATTTAACATGGCAGTGATTTTGCTATCACACCTGATTTGAATCATACATTTGCAGTATTCCTTTTAAAAAAGTGTTTTTTTCTATGGAATTTCCAAGGTTTTTAAAGTAAAAGTGGTTTTGTACAGAATGGAAACTCTGTACAGCAAGTCTTACTACCTAATCCTGCCTCTAACCCTTTGCCTTCAAGACTGACAACACCAGCATAAGCAATATGTATCTGTGAAAGCATTGCACAGTTCAGTGAGAAGGCTTAAAATTTGCAGGAAGAGTTTTTAAACATTACAAGGTTAAGGCAAAAGTGGGGACTCTGGAAGAGAGTCAATTAAGATGGCTTTGGGGGACCTGGTTTTCAAGGTGAGGTATTTGGTCCCTCAGACTGCCACATGGTGTGTATTTTGTACATTAGAATTCCATTATTCTTAACAGTGCCAGCAATAGAGCTGGTGGGAAATTCTCTGATGGAATGGCATGTTTTGAAACATGTCTGATTTCATGCCAGCTGGCTTACCAAGCTCCTCAGCAGCCTACCTGGCAGGCTGCTGGGAAATCCAGTCTTCCAGATTCAAGGGTTTTTGGAATCCTGCCTGGGGGGTTTATTGGGAACAGAAACCCTGGAAGTGCCAGATCCCCAACTTCAAGGCACCCAGCTCCAGGGAGCCTCAGAAATTGGGAGCCAAAAGATTCTCAGGGTTTCCGAACTCCTGGCTTCCTATTATGGAAGGTTTCTTCCTACAATTTATCATAAATAAATCATTTTAGTTTTTCCAAATGATTTTTTAATTCTGTTTTGCAAAGAATGTTTTTAATTTGAGGATTTTATTCTACATTGGAACAAACCAAATATTATTATCCCCAAAGCCTCCGAATTGTTATTTTTTGCATAGCCGGATAGAGCTGGTCTTAGGGGGGAATCCATGGTTAGCAGGGTGCTATGTACTTATGCACACACACACAAGCACAGTCCAGTGCTCCCCAGGTGTGATCTTGGCAACACCTGCAGCTGTGCAGGTAGCACGGGGTGTGAGCTACAGTCAAGTTGCTTTTGACCTGGAGTAGGGGGGAAGGGTCTACCCCACTACAGTGCCCCTCCCGTAACGTGTGATCTGGCGCTCACTCCCACACTGCCCCACCCAGCGGTATCACTAGAGTGAGTGTCACATGGAACTGGGGGGGCGCAGGAACCAGGAGCACCCAGGGCTCTCCCAGCATGAATCATTCCACAACAATGCTCTCCTGAGCATGTCCTCACATACTGTCTCCCTCTACCCTCTGGCCCCTGAGAGGAAGGGGACTTGGCTTCCCACGATGCCACCACCTCCATGCTGCACACACAACACCAGTTCTTTCCCACTGCCCGCAAAGCTCTGCAACCACAGGAGTGCTGTTGAAGCCAACATCCAGCCAGGCAGGGCTGGGGGGCACAGGCGGCAAGGCAGCACAGTGCAAGTCTTAGCCCATGGTGGGCACTGCCTGCCTGTCCCTCTGGATGCAGCCAAGCTGCGGAGGCAGAGCCAGGTACACACGGATGCAGAGTCAGACTCTGATCGCCAAGGAACTGCCGTGTGTTGTGGCATGGGCCAGTGCTGTGCAGGTGCCTGTCCTGTGCATGCTGCCGAGCTGCCCAGGTGGCCCTCAGAGATTCCCTCCACCAGTGAGTGCATCAGGTGTGGCTGCTGGGGAAATGTACCTCATTGCCACCTTCAGCTCCAGGGTGAGGGGGGTAGTCCCCACATGAGTCCAGGAATTACATCAAGAAGCATGGCAGGTGTCCTGCAGAGGGGCGCAGAGACCCCCATGCCAGAGGGGAGGGTCCTGGGAGGGAGTGTCAAAATACAAGTTCACCCAGGGCACCATTTTCCCTAGGTCTGGCTCTCAACAATCACCTGAGCATTATGCTGATGTTCAGATGGTTTGCCACACTAGGAAGATCCAGATTAAATGGTGTATGCATAATTCAGTTGCTATCTGGACAATATTTGCTCAAACCAAAGCCAGTTATGGACAAATCCTTCATTCTGAGTTAAAAAGCACTTAATTAGGTCAGCTGTTCCTTTATAGAACTATTCCTTTACATCTGTTTTAAACTGATGGCTTTCTTAAATCTCTTCCTATGGTTTCTTAGATAGTAGAATATAAAGTTGTGTTAGGAAAGAACATAAAGAAAAGTTATTTCTAATTATTTACAGCTTCAAAGGTTGTCACTGAACGTGACTCATTGCTCTTATCCCCCGATTACCTAAATTTCCTTTAATATTTCTTTCTTTTTGATTTGTTAAGTAAAGGTACTTAAATACTTTTTAAGTATTTCAATTTTTAAGTTTATAGTGCAATTACAAAAAACCACTGAAATCCAATACTGCAGTGCACTGTGAAATGCTCCCATGTAGATGTAGAACTACTGTTATTTCCTAGAAACACTTCCCAGTCCCTAGAACTCCACTGACATAGGGTGTGTACACATGTACTAACTTTCTGCCAGTTAAGATGACTTAGTTAACTTAACAGAGCATACACATATATGCAGTGTCAATTTAAATGCAGCACAAGATAATACACCTCTGAGGTGTGCTATCTTGAGTTGCATTAGTTAAGCCAACTTAGCTCACAAGATGGCTACTACTATGTCAAGGAGCTCTATGTATGCTCCAATGTGGCTTAATTTAAGTCTACTTAGGTAAGTCAACTTAGATGAGTTGACTTATTTTAAGTCAGCTTAGTACAAGTGTATATACCCCTTGTTAAGGCCTACCTTTTACAGTTAAATTTATGTAGATAGGTGCATTAGCTTTGAGGGAGCACTTGGAAAAGGTTGGGGGGGACATGTAAAATCTTTTTATTTGTGAAGGATAAAAGTTAAATCACAAGTTTGACCTAAAAAAAGTGTTAAGGGTAAGAGCAGAATATTTCATGTGATTACCTCAGGTTTAGTCATGTGAAATAGTAGTTACACAGGGAAAATTAAAAAATATAAAATAGGTACAGTCTGAAAATTAAAATGTTTCCGTTCTTTTCCCAGTGTTTTCCTCATGATGTTTCCTATTGGAATTCAAGTTTGTATAAAGTTATATGGAGCTAGGTTACGCTTTAGACATATACAGGCAGTCCTCAACTTACAACTTTTCGAGTTACAATGTTTCGCACTTCCAACATTTATAAATTGACACCCTGTTTCAACTTTCTGATGTCAGTTTTGACTTTACAACGCTTGATCCGACACCACGCCACACCAATGAACAAGTTAACTGTCGCTCATCTCCCTGGAGAACATCTGTCCAAACTTCCTTGGACACTTTCTTTAAGAAAGCAGACAAGACTCCAGAAAAACCTGCAGCCAAGAACCCTTTAAAAAGTCCAACCAAGAGCCCTTCAAAAAGTCCAGCAAAGTCACCTCGAAGAAGTACTTCCAAATCAATATGATTGCTTTTTACAATAAAAATACATTAATGTAGCTATATTACTCATCTATAATTGATTGAGTAGAAAATTCTGGGGTATTTTTGGTGAAAATAAGGTATCAGGCCTTGGTTCAGAAACCAATCCCCCATTTATAACATTGTTTCCTATGGGAAAATCAGTTCCACGTTACAACATTTTAACTTAAGAGGCAGTTTTCAGGAACCAATTGTGTTGTAAGTCCAAGAACTGCCTGTATAGTGTTTAGCATATTTTGGACAAGTTAAACACATTTTCTGGTGATCTAAATCAGCAAATCTACATTTAATCATTAACAGCTAAAAACATTTGTATAATATTGCATGCTTGAAGCCAGTGATAGAAAAACAGGAAATCACATACATTTTAAATTTTATTTTGTGGGAAGCTTCTTTGGCTGAGGAAATCTTGTAACAATTCTGTGCAGATGTGCCACCAACCAGATTGTAGCTTTTTTAAAAT